AGGGCTGGAGCACCTCTGGTATGAAGACAGGCTGAGAGAGTTGGGGCTGTTCAGCCTGGAGAAGAGAAAGCTCCAGGTGATCTTATTGCAGCTTTCCAGTACCTAAACAGGGCCTACAGGAAAGCTGGAGAGGGACATTTTACAAGGGCATGGAGTGATAGGACAAGGGGTAATGGATTTAAACTGAAAGAGGGGAGATTTAGATTAGATATAAGGAAAAAATTTTTTACATTGAGGGTCGTGAGGCAGTGGAACAGGTTTCCCAGAGAAGTTGTGGATGCCCCATCCCTGGAAGTGTTCAAGGCCAGGTTAGATGAGGCTTTGGGCAACCTGGTGTAGTGGAGGATTTCTCTGCCCATGGCAGGGGGGTTGGAACTAGATGATCTTTAAGGTCCTTTCCAACCCTAATCATTCTATGATTCTATGTTAAACTTCTACAGTGGGCGGTTCTTCATTCTCCCAGTCTCTGCCTTCGCCTTCTGTGACTTGGGCGGTGCAGCTGGAGCTCTTGCCCGTGAAGACTGAGCAAAAAAAGCCACTGAGGAACTCGCTCTTGCCAGTGAAGACTGAGCAAAAAAAGCCACTGAGTACCTCACCCTTCTCCATATGCTGGGTAAGCAGGTCCGCTGCTTCCTTCCAGAGAGGGCTCACATTTTCCCTAGTCCTCCTTTTATCACTGACACACCTATAGAAGCTTTTCTTGTCACCCTTGATGTCCCTGGCCAGATTTAATTTTATCAGGGCTTTAGCTTTCCTAACCTGATCTCTGGTTGCTCAGACAATTTCTCTGTATTGTTCCCAGGCTACCTGTCCTTGCTTCCACCCTCTGTAGGTTCCTTTTTGTGCTTGAGTTTGTCCAGGAGCTCCTTATTCGTCCATGCAGGCCTCCTGGTATTTTTGCCCAAATTTCTGTTTGTTGGGATGCACTAGTCCTGAGCTTGGACGAGGCAATCCTTGAATATCAATCAGCTTTCCCAGGCCCCTCTTCCCTCCAGGGCTTTATCCCATGGGACTCTACCAAGCAGATCCCTAAAGATGCCGAAGTCTGCTCTCCTGAAATCCAGGCTAGTGGGCTTGCTGTGCACCCTCTTTGCTGCCCTGAGAATCTTGTACTCCATCATTTCATTGTCACTACAGCCCTTGAGCTTCATGTTCCCCATGAGCCCATCCTTTTCACCAACAAGGTCTAGCATAACCTCATTGGTTCTTCTATCACTTGGGGAAGGAAGTTATCATCAATGCATTCCAGGAATTGGAATTGCTGGGTTGTCCCTCCAACAGATATCAGGGTGGTTGAATTTCCCCATGAGGGTCAGGGCTCATGAACATGAAGCTGCTCCTATCTGTCTGTAGAGGGCCTATCCACTCGCTTCCCCTGGTCAGGTGGCCTGTAGCTGACACCCACTATAATGTCACCTGTCCCTGCCCTCCCTTTAATCCTGACCCATAAGCTCTCTGTCAGCATCTCATCTGCTCCCAGGCAGAGCTCCATGCACTCCAGCTGGTCTTTGACATAGAGAATGACACCTCCTTGTTGCCCCTGCCTGTCCTTCCTAAAAAGCCTGTATCTTTCCATTACAACACTCGAGCCATAGGACTCCTTCCACCACGACTCCATCATGCCAATAAGATCATAACCCTGCAGGCTCGCACACACCTCTATCTCCTCTTGTTTATTCCCCACACTGCATGTGTTACTTAAAATCAGACAATCATGCAGACACTTGAGAAGTGTTTTCCTTTCCTTCTGACCAGTCCCTTGGGTTACTGCCTTTTGCTTTGCTACTTTCTTGAAGCCTGCACCAGCACTACAACCCCACCTTCCTTTTTCCCATTACAATGCCGGCAAGAACACCGGTGCAGACCATTCTAGTTTATCATTTCAGTGGAGTGTAGCCATAGACATGGCACATGCTGGGGTGAAGAAAACGAGTCAGCCCTTACTTGCCTCTCTGCCATGAAAGGAAGAAGTATCATTTCCATGCAAATGAATTTCTGTACATATATGCAACACAATACACACATAGAATTATTTTGATGGCATTAAAAAGTTTTGAAGGCTTTCAGGCAGACATAAGGAAACATCAGAGTATACTTATGGAAAACTTATTCTTCAGTATAAAAAGAACAGCATCAAAGCTGAAAAAAAAATCACTTAGCATTACTGTAACAACTAAAATTTCAAAGATTTTAAGTTTAATAGATACTAAAAAGATAAGTTTGGCAGTTTTGTTTGTTTTACATAATAAATTTGTTGACATGTGTACAGTTTCAGAATTATAGCCATCTAGAATTGCAGTTCTCAAAATCTTGGAACAGTGATTTCAGTCTCATTTCAGAATTTTCATTTCATCTGAGGTTTAAGAATCTCAACGTCAGAAAATTACCACTGTTCTTCACTCCACATCCTGATTTACAGGAGAAAAAAAAAAAAAAAGAGCTCTGGATTTAATAGATTAGGGGGTTGGAAAGATGGATAAACCTGAAAATTACAATTTAGGAATCCAGATTTTAAAACTCTTCAGACAGAGTTGTTAGGTGTGACTATCTCCTAAAAAGAAAAAAATACCTTGAAAGCATGTTTGATTTTTAACATGCTGACTGCCCAAGCAGGCAACTAGAACTGTCTGCCTACAAACCTCTTGAAAACAAGCTGTTTACTAGCCATCACTTTTTAGAAAGGTAAGCCCTTTCATCAGAAATTAATTATTCAAATGGTGCTGTCAAAAAAGTAAAACCTAGCAATTTGTTCTCATTAAAAATTTTCAACTTGTATAGCAGGGAGTATCCTACTTTTACACAAAGAATTCTTAATAAAGCAGAGAAAAAAATGCAGTTTCTGTGACCAAGTAGCATTTGTTTCATAAAAAAACAAAACAATGACTTGACAGAGACAGCAAAAATTACTTATCAGATGACAACCTTACCCACTACTGAAAATATAATCTCTTTACCTCATTGGCCTCAATCTGCTGCTGTTCTTTCTTTTTTCTCCTTTTCATTTTTTTTTTCTCATTTGCAGATGATCTTCCCCCTGACGCCTGAGATTTACTGGCACCTCGGCCACTTCTTCCTTTTCCAGACTTCAAATCAGTATCACTTTCGACTTGTAGTAAAGCAAAACGAGATGCAGTGGTAGGAACTGAACTGATTACAGTAGATGCCATTGCCATGTCTGAAATTCTACTGAGCTAGCTTCTTTTTAATTATTAGGTTTCCTAGGAAAGCAGCACAAAAATAAGAATTAAACCAGTGTTTGACCAAACAATCAATAATTTGTATCTGTCTGTTGCACGACTGGTACAAAAAAAAAAAAAACAAACTCAGTATTATTTCTTTATTTTTACTAAGTTGTGTTATCTTAAGTTTATTTGAACAATGACTACAAAAGGAAAGAATAGTCTATAAAACAAAACTTATTCCAGCCTAATATGTTTAATCCTGAGAGATTATGTTTGATGGAAAAAACAAATGGAAGGCTCTAAAAGAAATTGGCCTTCATGATCTGGAGGAGAAAAAGAAAGCCAAAACCAATGAAACAAACAAAAAAAAAACCATCTCACAAAAAAACCCACAGGAATAGTGTATTGCTCCAAAACTGTTTGAGAAGCCACTCCTGGAGCCTGACAACCGTACCGTTTGAGAAAGCAAGCGAGTAGATGTAACACACATGCAGGCTCCAGTTTTGGGTAAGCAGGCTTATTTGTTATTTTACAAGTAGTATACATTTTTTTTGCCAAGCCACTGGATATTTAACAAGCAGTTTTCCCCACAGGGAAGCAAGCCCAGCATTATGGCTGGTATTGCTCTCAAGCATCAGGCTCATCTACTCCTACAGCACAACACAGAGGCTGTGCTGCCGAGAGGCAGAACTGGGAAACACACTTATGCCTCCCGCTGCTCCCTGTGCCTATAACCCATGACACCATTCCAAAGTTAAATTTTTAGCGTGAGAGTATTTGGCTAATTGCAATTTTCCATGCAAAGTTTAGTGAATTAGAAGCCTGAAAGTGATGTTATTTCATCACTGATTATAAATGTCATAGAAAACAGACATCTAGCTATGCCGATGTACTACAATGGAAAGGTGTAGCGAAGTAGTACATACTTTTTGAACGCACTGTTTGAAAGGAATCCTTACAGTTTGATAACTGTAAACGTAGGAAGTTGAATGTCTGCTTAGATGGTCTATAAATCTGTTGCTTGTTAACTACTGTTACAAAAGAAGATGAGAATCTGCAGAAATTTCAAGAGATTGTTTTTATCGCTAAATTCCAGACTTTGTCAAGGACAAGCCTGTATGGGTGCTCTAAAGATGCTCAGACATATCAACAGCAATCAATGCTGCTACCAGTGCTATGGTAAATGGTCACCATTGTGACCATTACCCAAAAGAACTATTAAAAAGTAATATTAGATTTTATTTCTCAGAGGTGAAATAACAAGCAAGTGAGCGAGTACTGTTCTTACTCAAGTTTACTGAAGACAAAAAGTTACAGTCAACAGCATTCTTGTCATACAAAAGTTACCCTACTCTCTTTCAAAAAAGGAAAATGACGCTGATAGTAGGGTTGTTATCCTAAGACTAAAACAAACTTGACATCAAATTGTGAATCCACCTGATCCTGACATTCAGACTCTCTGATCGGACTACAACCACGGATCTAAAAAAACACATCAGTCACATCGAAAACACCGTAAGTAATTAGTACTTGTTACTCTCTTTAAATGATGAAATATCAGGTTAAGTTTGGATTTTCCTGGGTTTGTGCGTATGTTTTTACATGCATTTTAATAATCAATAACTCTATATATAGTTATCCTGCTCAGGAGCTTAGCTACAGCTGAGAAATGTTGTGCTATTACCACTTGAACATGCAGTTCAGTTGAAACCTGAAACTCAGAGGAAAAGATGAAAGACACACAGTTTCACAGAAAAACACCACCCAAGCACTCACTCATGCTGTAACACAAACTCTTAATACTGGATGGTGCTCTTGGCACTACGACAGACTGCACCAGCCTCAACACCAGAGGTCTGTAAACTCTCTACACTACAGGATGACTCTTGTCAGTCAGAAGCTTGGCATTTCTAGTCTCCATCTACTTACTGTGACATATAAACAGATAAAAGAGCACAACAGTCTTTACTGTCAGCTGCTCATAGTGCCAAATACTTCTTTTTGCCCATACAATTTGAAAATATTTGATATTTTTGAGCTGCAGTAGTAGCAGCTGGACCCTCTGGACATAAAACTCAAGAGAAAACATCATCAGGATACAATGACTAATTTACCCTAGAACAACACATAAAGAAAGACGAAAAGAGGTCAGACACAGCAGCTGAAGCTCTACATCACTATGAGGTGAGACCGCAAACTCCTCTCTCCCTTTCCAACAGATACAACAAAAATACAACTTTTGCAGTGACTGTAGTTGCCATGCAATTAAGTGCCCAGCTGACAAGCATATTAAACAAGTACCGCCCATGGAATTCTGCTGTTAATAATTCACTGAAATACTTCAGTGACAACACTAAATTAATTTACTGAAGTTTATTCATGAAATATGTTTGTTTCCACAGAACAGAAAAATGGACTGTAATGAGGTTGTAAAGGAGACTGCAAATACATGAGATTAGAGATTACTTTCCAGTAGTTTGCTACTCAGTTAGTAGGACATTTCAATACAGCTAGTCATATTACAGCAGCATCTAATCATCTCGCTTCTGCAACACTTAAAAGACGGATCCAGTGATTCACTGAGGCCTACCACCATGCCTTGATTCACGTTTTAATGCCACACCTACAATCCTGACAGACAAATTCTACCAAGCATCTAATATTTCACTCCCAAAACTGGACCTTCCTCCCCGCATAGGAAACCAACAGGCTGGTCCCCAAAGCTTCCAGCTAAGCATAGATGCTTGCCGCCCTTTTTACAAGATTTTTTTTTTTCCTTTAACAGAGAATTATAATTTGTGTTGCTCTTCATTATTATAGGTATGAACAGTCTTAGAAAATTAAAGCACTGATATTCTTGAGCTTGAGGCTCTGCTCAGAGGCTTTCTGACCACACAAAAAAAGCGTTCAGATACCAGAGTGTAATTCCACACACCAAACTAGTTGACCAAAGCCTATCTATCTAAATAGAAGACAATTCCTTTCCTTACGATACAGAGCACAGTGAAAATCTCCAGCAGGAGTGAGAGCAAGCAATGTGTGCTTGTGCCATCTACAGAGTTCATTAACACCTCAAGCGAGACCACAAGTTAAAAGAAGCCCAACAAACAAATATCAGTACTCGGAGTTGTTTCCATGTGTGCCATGCATTAGTGCTAGTCATAGCTTCTGAGAAGACTTTCTCTAAAGAAAGTTATTAACCCTCCATTTTTACGTTAATGAAGAGATCACTGATGATGGATTTCAGAGTTGCAACATCACCACGGCATCGATACACAGATGGCACCAACAAATTACCCCATTTCAAAACCTGCTGCTTTGCAAGTCACTAGCAGACCATTAGTTCAAACGTCTCTGCAATCTGTTTCAAACTACAAAGTTGGTGAAAAGGCTTCCCACAACCTAAAAGACATATTATTCAGATTCATGTGCTAACAACATAACATAAGCATGATACACCATATAATTTCACGACAACATAAAAGCACTTGTTAGGGCTAGCAAGCAATATTTTTGGTGCTCTACTCATTCTTAGATCGTACTCCTCTATAAATCACGTTAGCCTACATGAACAGATTATTTTTGAATTTGATACTAAATCAGTAGATTATACCAAGTTGGTCCCATTTATGAGACATGTAATGTATTACTTTAGCATGTCAGATACAGTGATCTGTAAGCACAAAGTGCTTACTCCACCTTAAATTCTTGGTAAACGATGAGACGTATTTAGAAAGCTAAATCGTGACATGACAGCAAAGAAAAGGTACCTCTTAACTTCAGTTCCCTGAAGTGTACTAAGCATTACTTCAGAAACATGAGATCAGTTGATGCCCTGAAGAGCTTCAGTCTAGTTTTAGACATGACGTGGAAAAGATTACAGTAACAGAAGTAATGTGCTCATCTGGAGTTACCGTAACTTGAAATCCCTTCTGCAGCAGTTCCCTACACTTACTCACGTGTCGCAGGTGAAACAGCTGTTGAAATACCAAAGTTTTAAAAGCTCTGCTGTAAACTGCTCAATACGTACACTAACAAGAGTTTAGCACATATCCAGAAGCTTATTTTGTTGGAGCATCAGCAGCTTCCTGGCCTGTGTGTACAGCTCTGCATGTGTGCAAGAATTACCATTTAAGTGTTCGAGCACCTCTCAGGAGCGAGCAGCACATCACCATTCAGACACCTCTCGTCTGATGCTAGTAGTGCACCTGTAAAATACATCTACGAAATAGCCACACAGCTTCAAATGTGATGCTTTCTTAGCTCAAGGAAAACATCCTGAAAAGCCAAGAAATAATAACCCGCTTCCTATTTGACCACTTTCATTGCCAAATAAAACACTAATAAAGACTTTTTAGAAAGCTTTGATAACAGGGTATTGTCATGCTAAAGCTACTTCCCACATATAATCTATCTACCACTAAAATACATATTGATAATCTACAATCAATATATGTTCTTAGCAAACACCTGAAATCTTGGCTGACTTCAGGACTCACTTGTAAACCTGAAATAATACTAAAATACACAATATACATCTGTAAATGAAGGAACACTTCCATTCCCTGCTGGCACTGATCAACCTTCACATCTTCTGCACACTACATATTGATCTTCGCCTGTTTATATATTTACCACAGCAAGCTCAATCTATTTTTCACATCACTGCATTTACAGGAAGTTTTGCATAGGAGGTCCTGCCAGCTGGACGAGCTTTCTTCATTTAAATTGCTTTTGGTTTATGCCATCTGATCAAAAGCTGTAAAGCTGCATTAAACTGCTCTAAATCCTTAAAATTACTTAAAATCAAGTCATCTGCTTATCAAGGAGTTTCACGAGAAACTTCATAGCCGAAAAACCCCAAACTCGTTCAAAAAAATCTTCCTGAGAGTTGCAGCACCCGCACACAGGGCAGCAATTTTTTACCATGACAGGTGAAGGGCCTTGCACGGTTTGAAAGGGGAATATGGCGAATTTACCGCTATGCTTTGGGAAAATTAACGGTTTTGAAGAAGAGCAGTTTTTAAGACATTTTTTAAGCTCATAATTAAAACGCAAAAGCAACCAGTCAAATCTGACTTTAGTTCGAGCATAGGATGCTGACTGCCAGTGTTAACCTCCCCTGCTTTTCTTCCCGTGATTCCCACCCACCCCCGCCAAAAAGAAAAAAAAAAAAAAAAGAAAAAAAAAAGAAAAAAAAAGGAAATTAGTTAGGAACGTTTATCTAACAAACCTTGCAACTTCACCCTCAATTTACGGTGCACGACTGAAGCAACAAAAGATACCAGCTTTCTTAGACACCAATACGTATGAGCAGCCTTAAATC